CGGCCACTTGAAAATAATGCTGTCAGGCGCCGTGGCATAGGTTTCTCACTGCGCGGGAATTCAAATCCTCGTCCCCCGGCGGCACCTTTTTTGAATTTTTTTTCATTTTCAACGGCGTTTTTCGGGGATTTCGGATTTTTTTTGAATTTTTTCGCAATAATATTCGGAAAATAGATAACTTTTAACACATTTTGATGCAATAAAAAAATTGACCGGAGTCCCCCTTTAAAACGGAAAAGAAGAACAAGAACAAGAAAAAGAAGACAGGAACAAGTGGCTTTGGGATCTAGTGCTATTCAGAAAATCCATTTATTTTTACTTGTTTTTCTCAAACGAACGATCTTTATTTTCATTCGAAACTACAACTTGATTTCAATTAATAAATGTTTTGAAAATTGAATTGTTCTGTGTAGTTTTTTGCGCATTTTCAGATGATTCTGTTGAATGTTTTTTTCCAAGTTCTTCATTTTCTCAATGCTCTCTGACCATATTTTTATGTACACATTCAAAAATTTAAATATGAAAGCTTTCTGGTTTCTATGAATAAACGATAAGAGACCAACATGAAGGCAGCACTTTCAACAACTTGGTCAAAAAATCAGATTTCTAGCCCAGCTAGAACCCGTCATACAGCGTTTTGAAGTTTAGGCAATTAGAGAGTGTTGGAGAGGGAGAGAGCGCAGACAGCTAGAGACTCGAATTGTATGCGTCGCTTCTGTTGACAATTTTTCCCATTGTCTGGGAACAATGACAACCTGAAAGCGAGATAACCCAGAGTCTCCCGATTTTCCCCATAAAATCCCTCTGGATTATCCGTTTTAATCGTGTCATATTCATTCCCCTTCTTATCTCTCTTCGTTCTCTAATTTCAAGTGCATTGTTTCACTCAAATAATATTAATATTATTTGAATACGCGCCAACGACCGCGTTGCAGCGACCGCGCCGCGCCACTCGGCACTGGCGTCCGCCGCCCGTCGTTACTCAGTCTTCGCTGCGGCGAAGCGGTGTTCGTATCTCACCAAGAGCTGACCGCTATGCGGTCCCGTTTAACCTTTTTCAGCCTTTCAGCTAGTTTTCTACGTTTGGCATCGTTTTGGTTTGTTAGCACCAGTTTTAGAAGGCAGCAAGGTTTCCTCCGGTAGCTCCCAGGAGGTTTTAGCCCTACACCTTTACTTCTTTTCTGTTCTTGCTTTCTTTTCCCAATTTCGTTGTCTTTGCCGTTTATTCAAATCCCTTTCCGTTAATAAACTTGGATTTGAATACTTTGTGTACTGTTATTTCCTTTGCACCGCTTATCTTACACATTTGGGGGGAATCATTTCAGGGGGTCATTTCAGGTTGCTGACACTCTCGGGTTAGGACGTAGGATCGGTCTCGACTGATTGAGGATCCGCTGTCAACAGCTTCAAAATTTCAAATCGTTGTATCTTGGCTCCCAGATGAGCTAGAAACATGAAACTTGGAACCATTCGTTTAGTTTTTCATGAGCTTTTATATCTTTAAAAGTTTTAAAAATTTTTGAGAAAATGTTCTGACAATGTCCATTTCGCGCACTTTGTAGAAGTCACTTGTGTGGTTTTTGATGCAATTCAAAATTTTTAGCTTCGCAAGTTTTGAAATTCAGAACAAACGATTTTTATCAGTGTGGAAAAAATTGTTTTCCGATTTGCGAGAAATCAGAGACCCCAAAAATAATATTTTCTGTGATTACAACAACAACAACAACAACAACAACTTATTTTGGGTCATTTTTGGCTCTGAAAACGATTGTTTTTCAAGAATTATTGTTATTATCATTTTCCTCAAAAACCAAACTGACCACTAGATTTCCCATTCCCTCAAAAATATAAGAAGATTTATATAGAATTATTAAATCCCCCCTCTTTAGCTGTTGCCGTTACCATGACACCCACCTCCAAACGTTCCTCCTTTCCTTCTCTTTCTCTGCGTCTCTCTCTCTCTCTCCCTCGAGCCTAGTTAAAGGCGCATATCTCAAAAAACAAAAGCACAACTCAATTTTTGTAAATTAATAAAATGTGTAAAATATAATTTTACACATTTTCATAGTTTACAACTTTTTGATGGGCGTTTACAGAAGCCGAGATAATCAAGCTAGAAGTTTAGGTGTTCTTTTTCTTAACCTCTCTCTCTCTCACCTCTCAATGACCCCTCTTTTAGACGTGAATAAAACTGAGCAATCGTCTTCAGGCGAAGACTAAAATTGACGTCTTCCGCTTGTCTCTTTTCTCCTCTCTCTCTCTCTCTCTCTCTCTCTCTCTCTCTCTCTCTCTCTCTCTCTCTCTCTCTCTATATCTTCTTTGGCAGGACATTTATGTCTTCAAAATGTTCAAACAAGCTTTTATAGGGGCTCTTTTTTTGAGCAACGAAAAAAATTGGTATACTCTTTTTTTCTTTGGAAAAGTACAACACATTTTCTGGAATGTTTCAGGAATTGGCGGTTTCTTAGAGTTTGTTTTGAGCTTGGTTAGGTTAGAAAACGCGACTTTTAAAGCTGGGGGGACAAGAGATTTTACGGGGGATTTTTGTAGCTAGAGTATGCATTCTACCGTGACGGTGTACAACGCTTAATGTCACTCTGCGTACAGCTGTCGTCCTCGCCTTTATGTATGCAATCGGGCGTGCGTTTTCTCTTTGCCCGCGTGGCGGTAGCGGTGCCGCACCCTCAATCATCGCCCTCACAAGTTCAACTCCTCGAGGGGCATCTTTGAACGGAATTTCGAGAACATTATTTTTTTCATGTCCCCCCACCTTTAAAGGTTCATTATAGCTGGTAATTTTTGAAAATTTGAATTTTCGGGATCCAGTTTTTGATTGGATTGTTTTGGAATTCAAATTTTGAAGATTTTGGATTTTTTCAACTTTAAATTTTCTCGGGATTTCTGAATTTCAAGAAAAATCATTTTTTGGCTTTTTTTTGGAATTATTGAAATTATGATTGATTTGGAATTTTGAGCCATTTATGATATTTTTGATCTTTAGTAATTTTTTGAAATCCTAATTTTTCAAGTTTTCTAAAAAGTCCTGAATTTCCAAATTTTTACGAATTTTTTGAATTTTAGAATTTTCTGGAAATCCATTTTTTAAATTTAAATTGTTCTCAATTTCAAATTATTTTCTGAATTTCTGAACTTCTGAATTTCTGAATTTCTGAATTTCTGAATTTCTGAATTTCTGAATTTCTGAA